AAAAATAACTATGCCTAGAAGTTCTGACCATTTCTTCTTATTGCTCTGGGGATGCCGGTACGTGGTCCATCCACATTGGAGGTTGTGGCTCGGACCCAAGGGGCCACCAGAAACCACAGTCCTCAGCCACGGTTCTCAAGACTCTTCCTAGCTGAGCCCACCACACGAGCCCCACTTGGGGGCTCAGCACCACCCCCATACAGTGCTCTTCATGTCCTGGATGACCTCCCTGCTGTGTCCTTGTAGTTGAAGGCCCTGCCAGGGGTGGGTGGGAGGTGGGTGGGACCGGTGGGAGGAGGGAGGGTCTTGCTCCCTGGCTTCTGGTTGGTTCAGAGCTGAGTGTCTGAGGTAAAGAGAGAAGAGAGTGCAGGAAGGAAGCCTCTTATTTGCCCCTTACAATGGGGATTGCTCTGTTTCAATGAGAGAAAGAAGGGGGATTGTCTTTTTTTCCCTCTTGTTCCAAGGGCCAAGTGTCCAGAATGAAATTTCTCATTTTGATATAATAGCCAGAAAAAGCTGGAACTTTGTAACATCATCACTGGAGACCTGTTGGCAGGCTAGAGATACCGAAGCAGCTGTTGTGCACAACTTCGAGCCTCAGGAGGGAACAGCCCAGAGGGAGGGAATCCATTCAAGAGGCCACGGGGTCATTTAGAAAACCTGGCCCACTCTTAAGACTCGGCCCACTCTATCGATGTTACAGGAGGCCCTGTACCCCTCCTGCGGAGACACACGCACAGGTGAGCTAGCGGCCCTCGTTCAGGGTGCGCCAGGAAGGCCCACGTCCCCCACCTGCTGCCGTTGGCACTGGGGCTGTGGAGGCCCCTCCACCAGCCAGGCTGCTCGGCTGTGACATGTTTCATGAGGAGCTTCCTCAGATGAGCTCTGGGCGGCCTGTGGGAGGCAGGCAAGCGGCCAGGAGAATCCCAGAGAGTGCTGAGTGCCACAGCTTCCAGGCCGCAGACCCCGTGATGCAATCAGTGCCTCACTGGGGTCCTCGGAAAACAAGCCCGCTGCTGTCAGCGCCGCCCCGGTGGCTGCCGCCCCACAGCGGGCTGTTCTGAGTAGTTACGAGCCCCTCCCTGCTTGGAAGGAGGAAATGTGAAAACCTTTATCGTCACATAAAAGCCAGCCCAAGACATGAGAAATAAATGCCTTTCAAAATGCATCTTGCTGAAGCGGGATTTCCATAGCAACTTCAGAAGACTGTGTATACAACTAGAGATAAGTCCAGGCTGATGGAAGCCACCTGGAATGTGAACAAGCCCTGCTCCAGGCGTCGGCAGGCAGGAGTTTTCCTAGAACCCATCATGCTGCTACGTGACCTTGGGCAGGTCATTTACTCTCTCTGCTAAGATGACAGGAGCATTAGCAGACCGGGATGAGAGAGATCAAGGTCATCTTGCCCACACCACCCTCCCCGCCCAGTCCGATGCGTCAGTCCCCCAAAGCAGCCCTTCTTCTAGCCTTTGTCCAGTCTCAGGCTGATAAATTTCCGCCTCAAGGTCTCTGCCAATCTTGCTTAATGGTAATTTAAGCTTGATTCTGAAAGAAATTGCTTGGTCTTTTTAAAGACGAGTGTGTTGCCTGATAAAGAAAAAAACATACTTATTCATACATGTGTTCACAGTTCTATAGATCAGGTTCCTGGGAAAGAGTCTCCGAGATGCTGAGACTGGGGTGCAAGACGTTTGCGGGGGCCGCAGAGAGGGCTCACACTGGTGGCACGTGAGGGACCTAGGACTGGGTGGAGGCAGGAGAGGAAGGGGCTGTGAACATACAACAGGGCCTCCGGCAACCCCCCCCCCCGGGAGCCTGGAGCTGGGTGGCCCTGCTGGGGGTGAAGGGGCTGAGGCTTTGAAGCCCTGTACTGACAAGTCAGCGGATGCCTGCTGCCCTGGGAAGGGGCCTTGACCTTGGCCGAGGCCACTCTGTTCAGCCAGGGCGGTTCTGGGAGAGGGCTGGGCCACAGCAGACAGCCCCGGCGGAGGGCATGAGAGTCCGGGCCTGGAGGAGGCAAGTGGACGGTGCACCACGGTAGCCACCACACTGGGGCTCGTTTGAACTGAACATGAAGTCAGCCCCGAAGACAGCACAGCGAAACGGCTGAGCGCACAGACATCGAGGCAGACACGACAGCAAGACTGGGATTTACGTGCAGCCTCTGTGACCGGCAGACCCTCGGAGGGGGGAGTCGCCAGGAGAGTCTAGGCCACGGTTTCTCTGTAAGAGCAGGGTTCTGCCTTGGGTGGTAAGATGAATACAAAGTTCAGAGTCAGAATCAAGGTCAAGTCTCGGCTTTACGTTACTGGCTGTGACCTTAGGTTGGTGCCTTTGCATCTGTTTCCTCAACTCTAAAATGGGGACAGTCATGCTACCCGTAGCACAGGCCTATTGAGGGGCAAGCAGAGATAACACAGGAAGCAACTCTCACAGAACTGGCGCAGGCTGCACCCTGACAAACAGGGTGATGAGAACACCCCCGTGGTGTTCGTGCACTCGTGATAGAGCCCAGCGGGAGAAGCCTTTGGGTCGTAGTGCCTTTTCACAGGAGAAAGGGACAGTTGAGGCGAAATTCTGAATTGTGCGTTGTTTCTCTGCGCCTTTGCGTTGAACTTCAGCAGGGCCTGTCAGTCACATCTGGGGACAGAGGCCTCTCAGAGCCTCTCGGAGCCATCGAAGGCCAAATAAAGTGCAACAGAGGACTTTGCAAACTATGCACTTTAAAACACACTTATTTTCCAGTAAAAAACAGTCCTATCTGTTCCTATCACTCCTATCTGTTCCACATTCAATCAACAATGAAATCTCACTTGCAGGGACTTTGCCCATGCTCAGCCCATTTGCTCGTCTGAAATTCCAAACACCTTGAAGGACTGTGCAAATTCAGTGATTGCTCCTGTCACTGGGAAAAGAAAACAGGGAGGGACTAGGCCTACATGTGGTAGGAACTGGTTCGTCCTAACCATAAGAAGGCAGCCACAAAATTCCCAAGTTATCGAGGTATCTCTGTTATCATTATTAATTTTCGCTGTATTGCATTTCAGTGTTCGGTTCACATCCGCTATCTTATTTAACTCTGACAACAAATTCTGTAAAGTAGGTATTATTATCCCCGGCTTTCGGGAGAGAGGACTGAGCACCAGCATGGCAGTGCGACGGACATTATGTTGCTCAATGGCGAGCACTGTGAGGACTTCGGGGCGGAACCCAGGCACACGCGTTCTCCGTTGCAGAAAGAGTGTCTGCTTCCCGGAGAAGGTTTCTGCAGCTTCAAAGCACCATGAAGTGTGGTCTTGAGTAGAGCGGATGTTGCCATGTCAGCTGCTGAGTGATGGCGGTGGGTGTCATGTGTCTCTGGGGATCTGTGAGTGAGAAATGTCTCCCAATTCTGCACTGGCTCTCAAAGGCTTAAGGGCCCTGGTCCTACTGCAGAAGAATGCTCTCAATCTGACCGTGTGTCAGCTGGCCAAACACCTGAAAGAAACATCTGCAAACAGAGCCTCTCAAACTACGCAGGAGATCCGGCTCAACCACCCGCTCGGGAAGTTTTCAGGCTGACTCTGCTCCAGATGCCCTTTGTTATCTCTGCTGGAACAGACGCTGGCACAGGGAAGACTCAGCAATACAAGTGCACGTGTTAATGAGCTAAGGATGCCTACCAGGATGAGTGTGAATCCGGGGTTCTCAACCTCAGGGCCGAGGACGGGTACCAGCTGACGCGGCCTGTCAGGACCCAGGCCACACAGCATAAGGTGAGAGGCCGGTGAGCGAGCAAGCGAATCTTCTCTTGCATCGCTGCCAGGGCTACACCTCCTGTCCCACCCACGCCCCCCCAACCCCCATCCATGGACAAGCTGTCTCCCAGGAAATTAGCCAAAAAGGTTTGGGACTGCTGATATAAATTACACAGGGTGCTTGACCAAGTCTCCAGATATAATAACAATAACCTCTCAGGTGGACACAGATTCCTTTGCTCTCAGGGGATCCTTATTTTAAGACAGGGACACTGAAGCCAGGGAGATTAAGTGACGTGCCCAAGGTCTTGTGGCCACTCAGCAACAAAATCCAGGTTTCTAACCTGGGTGTTCAGACTCTTCAATGTGACATCAGATTAAAATGAATATTCAGGATCAGCCAGGAAGGGAGAGGAGTTACCAAGGGCAGCTTGAGGGTGGTGGTGGAGGGAGACAGTCCTACCCCTGAGCTCAGTGGTGGCAGTTCTGAAGGCTGGCAGTTCTGTTAGAGCCCGGGGTCTACTGGGCTCTGTCCGCTACTCACCCACCAGCCACCCTCTGAGACACCACCTAACCACCAGCCTCCTACAACAGTGTCTCCCGAAGTCTGTTCCACCAGTGCAGTGCTTCTCCAACCTTAGAGAGCCCACAGACCCCCTGGCAAGCTTGTCAAAACGCAAACTCCACTCGGGAGTCCTGGGGTGAGGCCTGAGGTCTTGCGTTTCTAACCAGCGCCCGGGGTGCTGATGCCACTGGTCTGGGGCCAGACTTTGAGTAGAGAGGCCTCAGCAATGTTATACATTGAAAGGGGCTATGGGCGGATTTTTTGAGAACATCTGGACTAAATAAAATCAAACCAGTTTCATTGCTACAGGACTTCTCAGCATCTTTGCGCTGTTGGCGAGCTCAGTCAGTCTCCAACAGGCACAGATAATGCAAACGTGTTATAACCAGAGAAAGGCTAACGACACAACTAGGAAGCGTCGATACACTTTGGTTTACAAAGAGGGAACAAAATATGAGTAATATTCTGCATGCACTCCCCCAGCTGACGGTGGTTACAGTGTTCCCACGTGGCAGTGCATGCTCAGCCTGACGGGGCCCTCCCCTTGCCCACGTTCTCCCTGGAGGTGTGTGGGCACTGCCTGTCTCCTCCAACAGGCATGCACGTCTGGGCACCCCACGCCTCTGCCCTCCCCTGCTCTGCACGGTTCTGTGCTCAGAAGACTAGGGCTGGGTGGGGAACGCAACCCTCAGGAATACCTTTCGCAGACGCGGACGGTCCAGGCGGCGATGATCCACAGTGAGATGCTGAACACCAGCAGCACCGTGCCGGGGCAGATGGTCATGAGGGTCTTCATGACGAAGCGGGTGTTGAAGTTGATCTTGTTGAGGGCCCCGATGCTGCGGGACGAGGCGTCCGTGAAGAGCTTGCTGTGCAGCAGCATGACGCGTGCGATCAGGTACAGACGCAGGAACATGGGGATGGACAGGATGATGTCCACGTCGGCCTCTGCCCGAGAGGGTGTGTAGGAAAAGGCCAGGCGCGCCGTCCAAAAGAACTTGTACTCGCCGGGGATGGGGTGGATGGCGCACACCAACATCTCCAGGCTGATGTAGAGGATGCGCTCATAGGTCATGGCTATCCGCCAGTCATCCGCACCATTGTCAATCACGAAGAGCTGGTGAGAGCAGAGAGCCCATTAGTGTGGCCAAGGCAGAACCTGTGAGCCCATTAGTGTGGCCAAGGCAGAACCTGCGCTGCAGGAGGCGGGACAGGGTGGCTGGCCCCCCTCAGGGCGCTCTCTGGAGCCCTGCTTGTGCAGTGAGTGCCCTGGAAGGGGAGCAGGGAGACCTGGCCGACACAGTCACTCTGGGGGCTTCCGTTTCTGTACATTGCTTCCCAAGGTCCCTTCCTGCTGAAAGCTCCCAAACTGGCTGTTTCATGAGGAGGAAGAAGAACAGCTCACTCGTATTGAAAACAGTTTCCTAAGCTCCTACCAGGCTCTGAGCTAAGCCCTGGAAGGGAACCTGGAAATGAAAAGTCTCATTCCTTTGTGAGCGAGCTGACCCAGGCTGGCACAGACCTCCCCGTTCGGAGAGGGGACCCACAGTGTTCGCTGGCAGCGCCCTGCTCTCACTCAGAGCAGCACAGTGCTTGTGGTGTGGGCCCTGGAGAGGAGCTGCCTGGGTCTGGACCGGATCCTAACACTAGCTAGCTGTGACCTTGGGTACGTCTGCGAACCTCTCTATGCCTTGGTTTGCTCCTCTGGGGACAGTGATAACACCCGCAGCTTCACGGCAGTCAAAGGGAGCCAGCTATACACACTCTGTGTACAGAGTGCAGAGGACCCTGCCCAGAACCCAGTAATGTTCTGTAAGTATTAGCTATTATTATCTTTAGCATTATTAATGCCCGGGGCCTCCGACGTTTATAAAATAAGGGCTGGACTCCGTGATGTCTAATTTCCCTTCCAGCCCTAACTTCCATGAAGCTGAGATTCCTGTTGTCATGCCAGCAGGAAGGACAAAGCAGCTGAAACCAGCACCTACTGAGCACCTGCTGTGCACCCCACCCAGACTTGGGGTGTTGGGGTTCATGGGCAGAGAAGGGCCCAGGCTTTGCTCTCAAGGAGGTCCCACCCAGAGGACTCAGGGTTGAACAAAACAGCTGTGAGCACGAGAAGCAGGGAGGGGAACCACGGGGGGCAGTGGGGAAGCAGCTGGCTGAGGGGCCCACCTCGGCCCAGGTGGCTCTCATTAAAAACGTGTGATCTCTGAACAGGAGAGGACACCCAGCATGGCACCCAGCCCAGACTCCCCCAGTGCCACCAAGCCCGGCCGTGTCTAGACACAAGTGTCTACCATCTGTGGAAATAGGAAAGACCTAATGGCTGCTCAAGTGTCCCTTCTTCTCCTGAGTCACCAACAGGCCAAGCCTTGGCAACGTGACTGGCTGGCCAAACTCTTCAAATACAAAATGAAAACCGTCCACCCTGTCTATAAGAAAGGACTGCCTCAGGTTACTATAGTAACTGGGTTCACTCTGGGCAGGAACTGAAGCTACGAGTCACAGACCCCTCTGAGTCCCTAGTGGGGAACAAGATGGTACACCAGCCCAGTTAAAGGGAGGGCGCACCTTACTGCCCAGCCCAACGGGGGTTCCGGGCCGGGCGCTACCGCCACCGCCGCCCTGGCGCCTGTCTTCTATTTCTGTTTCCTGGTGCGATGTGTGCGGGGCAACCACAGAGCAGAACTGGAGGCCGGTGAGCTGGACTGAGGTCTCACACATCCATTTATTACCTGTGTGACCTCAGGTGGGTCACACCACCTCTCTGAGCCTGTTTCCACATCTCCGTGACAGGATTATTAACCTTGACCCTGCCCACTCATGGGATTAGTGTTAGGATCCAATATTACGGATAAAAAGACAGAATGTGCTTTACTAACTACTCTAATAATGTGAGGGATTATTAAGCCACAGCCCTGGGGAGCATTCATAGTGTTGGCGGGGGGTGTTGAGTGCGTGCTGGGGGTGTGTGAATGGCGGGTAGCCACTTCATACTGCAGACTGAGAGGCCTGCTCGTTAGGGCTCCCACGCAGGGATTTGTGGACATGCAGGGTAGGCAATGTGCCCCAGAGAATTCCATTGCTGTTCCTGATGAGAACACCCTGTGCCCGCCCCCATCTGACCCTTGGAAGCACAGCTCCCTGAGCATATCAGACAACAGACACGCCACCCTGATGAGTCCCCACTCAGCACCCTGCTCATTCCTTACAGATCGCAAATCTCAGTTGTGAACTTCTCCATGTTTACTCAGTTTTCATCTGTCTTCCCCTAGGGCAGTGGTTCTCGGCCTGGCTGCATATTAGAATCGCTCGGAGAACTTGCTTGAAATAGCCATGCCTGGGCCACCGAGACGAAGTGATCCTAGAAGTCTAAGCTCCCTCTCTAGGGCTCAGTTTCCTCTGCTGAGGAAGGAGGGCTGGAGCACATGAGGTGTCTTCTGCCCTGAGGGGCCGTCATTCTGTGGTCCCAAGCAGCCCCTCGGGCTTGCTGGTGCTACCTGCCCCTCGTGTGTTCTCAGGGCGCATGAGCTCTCTGGACGCAGGACCCAAGCCTGGCTCATCTGGCCTCTCGACAATGCCTGGGACTGCACCCAGCAGTCAGTAGAATTACGGTGAAGAGAGTAGGTGGATGACTGCGTCATGCAAAGAAAAAGAAATTGCCGATGGCCCTTGTTAACCACTCAGAATGGAGATTCCTGTGGAAAACTCATTCCTAAGCCTGCAACTAGTGAAGTCCCTGACAATTCAGCTTATGCTGTGAGAAAGACACCTTCCTCTTCCCAAATAGTGATCCAATCTGGAATAAACTGTCCCAGGTGATCTTCAAGCCTTAGGAAGTTCTGGAGTTAATCTAGAACCAGGATCCTGAGTAGCACTGGACCACAGGAGTGAGGGGAGCTATGCAAGCAACTCCTCAAAGGGGCTGTCCTCCCGCACATTTGGTCTCGGCCACCACCCAGCCCCAGTTCTAGAGCAGCCTGACTGCTTACCCCAATGAATTCTGAAAGAGTACCAGGGTGATGTGGATCAGACCTGGCATGGTCCCCTCTGGCCTGCCACGGAGCAGAAGCCTCAGAGGCCTGGGGCTAACAGACGAGTTTCCTCCTGACCTGGCCTGGGTTTGCCCCTTGCGTGCTGGCCTCCCTGGGTGGGGAAGGAAAGCCACATCCTGCTGAGTCTTTCTGCCTCCTCAACCTAAAACAAAGATTTCACTCATGTGGGGTATGACCAGCCTGAAGACACTTCCATACCAAGGCCTAGAGTCTCCCGCAAGTCCCACACTTTCCCCAGATAGTGCCCCAACAGAGCTGGCTCCAGACTAATCCTTCTGCCCCTTAACTGAGAGCCCGTGGTATAGTTCTGTGAGCTTTGAGAGCTTGGGAAGATGTTATGTAGTAGAGCAACCCCAAACTTGCCTTCAAGGAGCTTGCAATTACAAAGGAGAGCAACTTGATGAGACTCAACTCAACTCAATTCGATAAAAACAATTAGTAGGAACCGAATAGTATTTGAAATTTGCTAAGAGAGTGCATCTTGAGTGTCCTCACACACACAAAAAAGCAATGATGTGAGGTCACGATGTGCTCATTAGCTTGATCGTGGTGACCATTTCACAATGCATATGTACAGGAAATGATCGCATTGTACACTTTAAATATACACAATCTTGTTTGTCAATTGTAAATCAATAAAAAAGAATCAACTAGGCAAGGACCCGTGGAGATATAAATACGAATCGGACTCATATTCCATAAATCAGCTCGCAATCTCAGGTGGCTCCAGCAAGGGCCATGCCATTAGGCCCATTGTAACAAGCTTCTGGGGCAAGATGGGGTTTCGTGGTGCCTGGAAGGCCTGTGACAGACAAACTTCCCGTAGAAGCTCATCCAAATGGCCACAGGCTCCTCACATCCCATTCGTTTGCTTCTTCACATGTGGCTTTACCTCTCCCAGCAAGATGTACCGTGTATTTCTCAACCCCTTGAACCTGAACTTGGCCATGTGCCTACAATGGCCAATGAGAAAATGTGCCTACCATGGACATGAGAAAGCGTAATGCAGCAGAGATTTGAAAAATGTCACCATCGTGGAGCTTGCTTTTGGCAGCCAAGCCTGCGAGTGAGGCCATCTTCAACCAGCTGCATAACAGGGGCACCCCTGGTGAGGCCGGCAGAAGGACAGCTGCACTGAGCCCAGCCCAGGTTGCTGACACACACAATCACGAACTAAATGATTACTGTTTTAAGCCATTAATTTGGGGGGTACTTTGTTGTGCAACAAATCTAGTGAATAACAAAACTAGCTCATGCACTTACTTAGCCCATGTATTAGAAGAGGTGAGTCATTTGCCCAACGTTCCCATTTCAGCTTGTTGTGCCTCTGCTCTAGAAGGAACTCCGCCCCCACACGGTGGATCAGTCAGGGCTGGCCAGTCTTTTCAAGTCACTGGGTAACTGGACGGAGAGGGCTCGTGATCGAGAGGCATGGCAGCTTCCCCACCCACTGGCCACATCATTTCCTATGTCAAAGAATAACTCAAATTGTTCTATAAGTTATTTTGCCGGCCATTTAATGATTTTGCATACAAAGTGTTTCTCACGTGTGAAGAAGTCAGGTGGCGGAACTTCTGGCCAAGATGGAGGCATAGGTGGAAATTCTGTGCCTCCTCGCACAATGAAGTTTAAAGACAACAAAGTTTTAGTAACAAAAACGCAACCAAAACACAGAAAACTGAACTATATGCAAGTCCGACAACAACAAACCGTTCAGCCAGACCGGTAAGAAGGGTGGAGCCAGTGGCTGGCGGAGCAGGGTTGCGTAGGCAAATTCGGCCCTGGGTGGTGGTTGGCGGATCCCAGACATGGGGTGGCAATGGGCAGACCCAGTGAGGGTGCAAGACAGCAGGCTGACCGTGGTCACACATTCACGCGCAGATAAACCAGGTGAAGGAGTGAGCAATGAGACAGACCTCGCAGGCCCCAGCAATGGGAAGCAGCAGAAGGGACCACTATTGTCCCTCTTTGACCCCACCCCCACATACAGTGTCACAACCCAGTGACTGGGTCGCCCCACCCTGGTGAACACCTAGGTCTCTGCCCCTCATACGTAACA